GCTGAAGAAAAGTACTGAATATTCCATCGACTGCCAGAAAAATAGATAGGTCTTGGAAAAGTGCAGCCAGGGTCCTCTTTGGAGGCAAAGATGGCGAAGTTTCATCTTTTATACTTTGGTAATTTAATTAGGTGAGGCTATTCCTTGGGAAGCTACATCATGCTTGGAAAGATGGAGAGTCAGCAAAGAAGAGGAAGATCCTCAATGAGATAGACTAACACAGTGACTTCAGCAATGGGCTCAAGTGTTTTGTAAAGATTGGCACAGGATACAGAAAGGTTCAAGCTGGCACTTTATAGGTCACTATGAGTTGTATTCAACTTGATGGCACCTAACAACAACAACAAGAACATAGAATACCTGTCTTAGATGAAGTATAGTCAGAATGTTCCTTAGATGTTAAGATGGTGGGACAGCATCTTTTGTAATTTGGGCATAGGCAGGAGGGATCAATCCCTGGAGAATATTACACTTGGCAATGCAGAGGGTCAGTGAAAAAGAAGACCCTAGTAATAGACTTGAAGGCACCAGTTTTAGGGGGAGAGGTGTCAAGTGGTATCTCATTGTCACTTTGATTTGCACTTCCTTGATGACTAATGATATTGAGCATCTTCTCATATACTTATTGGCCATTTGTACATACTCTTCAGAAAGAGCACAGAAATATAAGTAGTTATAACTAAGTAGCAATTTGAAAACTCTATTTGGGGAACTTAAAGCAGACTCCAACTCATGTAGATAAGATACTACAAACAAAGACAACTCTCATTGTCTTTGGCCTCTATACATGATGCCCTCAACAATCTCTTTCATGTAGATGACATAGCTGGCTTGTAGAAAGTGAAAAAGACTTGAAGCACTTACTGAAGAAGATCAAATATGGGTTACATCTCAACATCAGAAGAAAATTCCTAACCAATGGACCAATGAGCAACAACATCATGATAGATGGAGAAAAGACTGAAGTTGTCAACAATTTCATTTTACTTGGACTCACAATCTACACCCAGGACAACAGCAGTCAAGAAATGAGAAGACATGCTGTATTGCAAAAATCTGCTGTCAAGGACTTCTTTAAATGCTAATGAGCAAGAATGTAAGGTATTGTTTTGATGTTGTTTTTCTTTCACTCTTTAAAAATCTTTTTTTTCTAAAAAATTTTATTTTATATTGATTTGCTTACAAAGAATGTAAGTTTTAAAGACTAAGGTGCATCTGGATCCAAGTCATAGTATGATCAACTACTTCTGATGCATTTTAAAAGTTGGACAATGAGTAAGGATGACAAAAAGATGCCTTTGAGCTGTGGTGTTGGGGAAGAGTCTTGAACATCCATGGAATGTCAAAAGAAGAAATAAGTCTGTCTTAAATGAAGTGTAGCTAGGATATTCCTTAGAGACACTGTGGGGAAACTTCATCTTACATACTTACGGCATGTTGTCAGGAGTGGCCAGTCCTTGGAAAAAGGTATCATGCTGGGAAAAGTGGAGGATCAGAGAAATAAAGGAAAAAGATGCTCAATGAGACAGACGGACACAGTGACTACAACACTGGGTTTGATCAACGCAGAGATTAGTGATTATGGTTCAGGATAAACCAAGGGTTTGTTGTTTGATAGCATTACTATGAATCCTAGTCAACTCGATGGCATCTAATAACAATAACATGCATGATGATGAGAACTGCTTTAATAAAGAGTATTCAGAATTACTGTGCAGGTCTGATGGTAGCCTAAGAGTCTAACTTTCTAGTCTGTTCCTAAGTGGTAACAATGTGGCTGGTCCCTGGACCATATTCTGCTCAACAGGGCTGTGGACATTTGTTGAGCTCTTATTCTGTGCCAGCCATTGTGTATGTATTATCTCATTTCAGCCTCACAGCAAATAAAAATCAATCATTTTTGTATAGCAGAAAAACAAGGATTAGAGAAGTTCATTAAAATACCCAAAGTCACAGAGCTAGTTAGTGGCAGAGCAAATGTTAGGACCCTAGAGATTGTACTCTCTAGACCCCTTTGCCAAATTATCTCTGAAGTCTACAGGACTCCATAGCTCACCAAGCAGATCTGTATTTTTTTCATCCACAAACCCTCAGTCGTAAAATAATTTACTTACCTCTGTGACATGCAAAATAAGAACAGTAACAGTAAAAGACTAGTGGCAGAATATTGAAAGACTTACAAGATATTCCACAAAGCTAGAAAATGGAAAGTGAAATGTAAAATTCCAGGAATAACTCAAAGCCTGATCAATATCCCTTTAAGGCATTTTCCCTGGCATCACCGGCACCTCTTTTTACCTGAGTCACTGGACTGCTCAGAGAGCATGAGTACACTTCTGCTCCTGGCTAAAGAAGCCTGTGTGGGTGTCAACAGTCGCATAACAAGAAAGGTTTCCATGGGACTAAGATGCATGCGATGAGCTGAGAGATGGAATCAAATGAAAATGGAAAGGAAAATTAAATCCAAACAAAATAACCAAAACCAGCACAGTGTGGCATGCAAATTCATTTCAGCATGGTAGAACAAAGAATGGCTTTGGAGTTCGTCACAGTAAAATAAAACAAACATTGTCATTTCAAGTCTGGGGATGTGTATTCATTCTCTTGGGGTGCCAGGATTTCTTAAATGTGCTATTACAGCCCAGGGATCTGTAAAATTTTGTAAGTTCACCTCTCAAGATGTGATATGATCTCAAGAAAACATTTACCCACAAGCAGAAATAGCATTGAAAAGCCAGTCCTATACAAAATGTGAAAAATATGAAACATTTAAAAACATTTCTCTGTTAAGCAATATTTCATAATAGCAACAAATGAATAGATTGAGAAATTGTGGTGCAGTCACCCAATGGACTACTATGCAGCACTAAGGAGCAACAATTTTTTAAAATACTATATAATTTAGAAGAGGCTAGAGAGCATTTTGCTGAGTGAAATATCTCAGTCACATGAGGACAAATACTGTGTACAGCCACTATTGTAGAAATAAGAGGATAATTGAGTAAGATGTATAAATGTTCAGAAAGCAAAGAAGAGATCAGGAGATACAAAAATGGAAAGGCGGGGAAAATCACTGGGACAGAAGTTAGTGGGTACAGGGAGGGAAAGGTTCAATGGGGATTTGAAAAGGTGATGTGGTAACAGGCATAGAGCAATGGTAATTAACTATATAAAATATGACATATAAATGACTGTATAAAACACAAAGTACATGTACAGAACACAATGTATATGAATGATTACAAGGAAACCAATAAAATAATTTTTAAAAAGAAGTATTTCATAACAAACTGATTTGGTTCATGAAATAAGTAGTCACATCGTTCACTAAAAAACAAAAATCCAACAAACAAAAACTCTCCAAAGCAAAAGAAAAATGTCACAAGATAACTCATTACCCTCATGTCTAATCCCAACTGGTAAGTGATGTCGCCAGTGGGTTTTCAGTTGGAAGCAGGAGTGGCATCCACTTCCTAAACAACATACCTTAGGAAACTCTATGAACTTTGAGAAACGATAGTTATAGAAAGGCTTCAGGTCTTTTGTTCATAGGGTCACCTAGAGTGATGCTCTACTCAACAGCAATCAACAACTACAATTACAATTCACATGGGAGGAGCTCCCATGGAGCTGGTAGATTCCAAACTGCCTGCCTATGGGTTAGCAGTCAAACTCTTTACTGAACAGGCCACCAGAAATCCCTAAATAAAAATTAGTTACTTGATGTCAGCTTTAAGGGTGACAGTAGCATTCATATTCTAAAATTTGGTCACTGAAATGTCGTTTTGGGACATACTATATTGCAGCGAATTAGATTTTAAAAAGAAATAATTTTGCAATTTTTGAGGTCCCACTAACAAGCCTATACCGCACAGGTAGTTAAGTCAGCTGTCAACAACATATTAATATACTACATCTTTACATTTTCATCATTGCCAAAAAATGGATTGAACATTTCTAACCATGTGAATGAATGAAAACATAAAAACTATACTTGCTAACAGACAATCTATTAAAAAATTCAATGTTTTCCATACTTTTACATGGATTGCATCAGAGTTAAGCACCTTCATGACACTCACAGGGTATCCAACAAATAGGATGTGCCTCGTTGGTTGAATCACAAGGTCACTGACGTTGAAACACAACCAGGGAGACATATTGGCCTTTTCAAAGTCATTAACATTTTTGTCCTTATCCCTCACTAAAGAGCAGAAATGATAAAACTAGGGCCTGCAGCTTCTTAAATAGTGCTTTCAGATACACAGTGAACATACAGAAAGGTTCCCTCCCTTAACCTACATACCCTAGAAGATATAAATTAGTGACTTGTCTGAGCTTCAAGGAGAAGTGTCTCAGAAAATAGAGGGTGCCGTATCTATTCAGTTTCTCAAATTGGCACATGATCTGTGCATAGCCTTTCCCATCTTAAATGCTGCTCATTCTTTTCTCCCTTTAAAGTCTTATTAGTTCTGAACCTCTACCTCACTTAAAAAAAAAAAAAGAAGAAGAAGACAGGCCTACAAACCATAGGCAACTGCAGAGTCTCATTTTTACACATACAAAAGTCTCCCACATGCTTGGAAAGGTCATCATTTCTGCTCTTTTGAGTAAATTAACCATTCTGTCACTCGGTGCACAGTTATTTGTTTAATGGTCTTGTCGGCCCACAATTAATTTTCAGGTTACTAGAAGAATGCTGCTCATTTCTATTCCTATCTAGCCATGAACTGGCTGTTTTCTGGCTCTGGGGCTCCCAAATTTACAACACAACCTTGAGACAGAGTAATATTTATGAGACAAAGGTGGACCATCTCTACCCATGTGATTAACTGGCTTGGATAACCTGCCAGATGATCAGCTATGGATCACTTCCAATTCAATAATACATAAGAACAACAGTGTTTTCAGAAGGTGCAAAAAAGGCTCTAACAAAGGTCAGTGTTAAGTTGTTCATGCAAGAAAGAAACTGGAGAGCTCAGATCTATAAGCTCACTTGCCTCGTTCTGGAGAATATGTTATAGCCACAGTGGATGAAGACAGGCGCTTGTTCATGGGAGGTTCTGCCTGCTTTGGCAAGTTCATGGTTGATGTTGAAAGTTTATCATGTGCTGCAGAAAAAAAATAATAAAGACATCAGTATTGACATCAATAAAGACAGTACCATACAAAAACATAACCCTAAATGCTCTTCCAATGGTCCCCCAAACCCTGGGGCACAGCACATTGTGCTTCATCCCTTTTGAGGAGACAACCATCCTAATATGGAAATGCTTATGCTATAGTAGCCCATGGTCTGAAACAAGAGCTTCTCTTCTATTTTAAAGATTTGGCCTTCCTCAGCAGTTCTACTAAAGTAGGCTAATCTAATCCCACCAGCAAATCACTTCCTTATGTCCTGTGATTTTTAAACATATTCTGATCATATAAAAACAACCAATCTAGAGAGTGAGGCAAACTGGAAATTGCTTTATGGTTTCTGACTGTGTGCTGAAACAGGTCTTTACTGGGCAGCTATACAGTTCAAGTCAGCGAGAGATGGGGCTGTATCTAAAGCAGAATGACACTAGCAGTTAAGTTTCTCCCTCTCGTCAGGAGACATAGTTAGCATAGCCTTGAACTGTAATATGCGACCCTAGGTTTTGGTTTTCTCCTTTTCCAGCCATTATTTTATAGTCAGGCTTTTAAGTCACACCATATAGCAAACTAAGAGGTTCTGACAGTGCCGAGAGGCATCATCTCACATCTTGAAGCAGAAGCAAAAGTTTATGTCTGTGAATTTAATGAAAGTAAACTCATTAATAACATTTAAATATCTACTCCTTTGCTCATGTTTTCAACTCAGAGAACTGCTACATCTGGTAATTTCTCTTGCCTGAATTATCTGAAATAATTTTTAACTAATGTAAGCTAAAGCAAAATAAATTCATGTACAAATGTCGACTTTTGAAAATGAAGTGAAATTTGATGTACCGGAGGGGAAAAACCATTAAATACATGAAAATCCATGTGTGTGTGTGTGTGTGTGTATATGTTTTTTTTAATTTAGTATTTGATATGGCTCCATGTGGAAATGGTTTTCATAAATGTAAAATTTTGCTGATCATGGATAGTTCTGAATATTTTGAGAAAATAATGCATTAAAATATTTTACCTTGATTATGGAGCTTTTTGCTCCTGGGCTAAGTATCAAAGCCAGAGTGAGTATCACATTTGCTTTTTCCTGATTATGTCCCTCCCTGTGTGCTAACTTTCCAGCAGTGATGATTCAACACTATTTACACCTCTACATAGGGGAATGTCAGTATTAAGACTACATATATAGTTAACTCAGCTGTGTAGCGAATTGCCTGCTATGAAGCAATACCAACAAAGATCATTCTTTGTGAAAGGAATGCTGGAAACCAAGAATACAGATTTCTATGGCTCTGATTTGACCATACGCATTACTGGTAAATACTGTATTCTTTTTAAATCTTGTGTTTCCTTTGCCAGCAGAAAATGGACAGGATTACTCAAGTTAAGGATTATTCCTTTTTACTGTTAAAAGGGAACAAAGTTTTGCTAGCTCTGCTTTTGATCTAATTTCCAAGTCTGTCTCCAAAACAGAAAAACCATTAGACAGAATGATGAAATCAAGGACAAAGCCAAATCATCGACTGGGTTTCCAGTATTAAGATTCACAAGGATTTGCTTCTGTATCACCATCTCCCAAACACTTGTCCAGGAATTGATGACATTAACAACACCACGGCCAAATATTCCATTCAAGCTGGATGAAGAAAGGTTTTGATAAGTCACTTGATCTACTCCACTACTGTTTAAAGAAGATGATTAATGAGTGTTAAAGATATAAATATAAAACAGCCAAATATTGACAAGATTCTCAAGACAAAAATTAGTGAAGCCAGGATGCAATATCCACTGTATGAGGATGTAATACATGCACAGCACTACAATGACAAAGGAACAAAGACATATGGTTATGCCACGCATAACTCTAGAAATAAAGTTATTATAGTTCAAACTAAGAAATTAATAGTAAAGGTTCTATAAGAGCGACAAACTGGAGATGAAGAAGAGTGACTGGAACAATAATGACAAAATGTTATGGCCCAGCAAGGCTCAGTTATACCATCTGTGGCCTCCACAGCAGCGGCAGTGGTCCCTGGGTCCGGAGGGAGGGTGCTGGCTGCTAAACCTACAGGAGGGGGTAGGGTATTTTCTGATTCACCTACAGAGCAAAAAATCAGAGCAAGAGAGGTGAAAGAAAAAAGATCCCATTTTTGTTGCCTTTTCAGAAAAAAGTATTTTCACTGTCAAATATACAATACAGTGTTAAAAACACTATTAACAGCAAAATCAAGAAACTGTATTATAAACTTAAACCAAGTCATTTGCCTAGAATGCAGGAACATATAGAAAGGAAAAACAAGAAGCAGGCAGTTAAAAAACATTCACATGTTAAACAAAACATTTGAAAAATTTAAAACTATTCCTCAAATAAGCCACCTTAAAGTAAATTGAAAGACCAACAAAAATGAATGAGCAGGGGAAACAGAAACTGCTGCTCTGCCTCCCAGGTCATGTCTAGAGGGGATGGAGCATCTGTCACCTACCATTCTTGACATACAGTTCTCCTGGGTGTTTAAGTACCCTGCAGCATTTTTGTTTTTACATTAGACTTCTGGGCTTTTTGTTAAGGCCCAGGTAGAGAAAGAAAATGCACGGGTTCCATTCCCTCCCACAAAATGCAGACACAGGAAGCTAGGCAGGTTTACAGGTTTAAACCTCAGGTCTAAAAAAGGGATCCCCTTAAATCCATGCAAAGTCCTCCTGTAGAGGCTGTCCCCATCTTTTACAATTCCAGTGTGAGTCAGCCCCATCACTTACCTTCTCGGCCTCCAGTCCCTGCAGCCAGTGCTCCTCCCCAGGACTTCTTCTTCAACTCCAGCTGCTGTGTGCGCTCAATGGACCTGCGCATCATTGCCTCCAGCCGCTCCTGCCCAGCACAAGCAGAGCGTCACGGTGACGGAGAACAAAATTAGCTACCCAGCCTACTGCACTGCCACGCCTCAGTCCCAGGAGAGTCATTGAATAAAGCTTTCTGGGCAGCAGCACCACAGCTCTCTGCACCCAAAAGCCAATCCTGGTGCCATTCCCCACCCCAACAGCATATTCAGAATTGATCTCCCTTACCCCTGTCCACATTGAGGCATCTATTCCCAGTCTCCTCCCGGGACCTCAGCTGCTGCTGAGCCTGGAGGTCTTAATTTGCTTAAGAATAGTGCTGGGCAAGCATTAACTCTTTGAAGTCTGTCTCCAACCATTTTGTGCAAGGACTGGAATTGTGCTCTAGAATCAGCACCTACTCCAGTAGAAGGCATAAAACATGCCAATTTAAGAAAAGTTAAACAGAAATAAAAGTTGAGTTCTCTATCCTTTACATAATTTTGGGGGGATGATATTTGATTTGAGACCTATGATTAAAAGCTCAATTTTCATCTTAGAACTCCTTTTTTAAATTGTTAAATTGTGCTAAGTGTACATATAAAACAATAGCTACCATTTCAATATTACTCACCTGTACAACTCAATGACATGAACAATGGTTATTTTGTTCAACTATCAATCTTTTGCTTTCTTAAAGGAAAATCAATGCTTTTCTATATTTTAGCACTTTTCTGCTACACAGTATTCTGGGGATACTGCATTCTTCAAAATGTAAAAGTGAGTGCTTACAGAACCTCCCAGCCCCAAAATAAAGCACCTATACATTACCCATAGGTGGGCAGATGGGTAGAGGAAAGAATGAAACTATTTTAACCAGAAGACATAAGCAGTAAAGAGGTTTCTTAACAGAATATATATTAGAAGTACATTCCTCTATTAACCAAATTGTTGGTTTCAAAAAGTTTATTTCAAAAGCTGGCAAGTATTTCTGTGGCATCAGAGTAAATTTCAAGATTCTACAGGCCTTGTCTCCCCTACCCCATGACACTGCAAATACCAAATCCTCTACCGATCTCCACTGGAAAGGGCCAGAATAGGTATCCTTAATTCTCATCAAACTGAACCCTGAGCACTGGCTTCAATCACAGATTTATTCTGAAAGCAGAAAGAAGCTATTTTCTCAAATTGGAAAAAAAACAATGGGCAAGTAAATCTACTTTGGAGTAGCATCAACTAAGAAATCATCACTTAAAGATCTGCAAAAGGACTCTGTTCATCGACTTTACTAGAAACAGCAAAGATCACTTAGGAAGCATGGATTCTAAAGTAGAAGGATAAGGTGTTTGTTTCTCCACATTTCACCCTCTTTCCTCTGTGTAATCTTTCTCTGAGAAGCACTTTGCTAGGAGACAGCCTCAAGAGACCTGTGAGCAGAAAGGAGCAATTTTTTCCCCCCTCCATGAAGTCACTGATTTGTATTTGCTAGTTTTTGGCCCAAGACTTTACAATCATGAGTGTGCATTTTCTGGCACTGCAATGTCCTCACAACCTGATGCTTTAATAAATGCAGACAGCCAACCTCAACTGAGTCTGACCAGGAAAAGGTCTGCTTATAAGGCACAGAGCTCCCTCCCATTGGGTGTCTGAGACTGGGGCTTACTTGTCGTTATGTATAGTCAAATCAGAACTGACTCTCCAGCAAGATTTCAGAGACAGAAAATCGCCCACAATTTTCCCAAGGAGCTACTGGTGGATTAGAACTGAGTGCCTTTGGGTTGGCAGTGAAACTCCTTACCACCAGCCTACCAGAGCTTCCTCTGGAGCTGACTAGTCATTATACAGATTCGAAGTAAAGTATTTAACAAATGACCTACTCTTAGGTGTAGCAATCGTTCAACTTAGATTGAACTCAGTATGGCTGGGTTATGGTGGATTTTCTACATGCTAGAGCATCAAAAGACAAGTTTCTCACCATGAAGGGACCAAAAAGGATGAAGCACTTCTTTAAGAGTCAACAACTTAATCATGGATTCTATCATAGGCAGTCTCAGCCTGGAAAGTTCTGTCATGCTTATGAAAATATCTGTCCCCTACCTCCAATCTGCTTGCTGTGAGGGTCAAGGACTGCAGCCTTCAATATGGATTGAGGGTCAATGTGAAGAAGACAAAGATTCTCACCACTGGAACAATTGGCAGCATCAGGATGGATGGTGAAGAGATTGAGATTGT